GGGTTCAGGGTTTAGGGTTTAGGGTTTAGGGTTTGAGGTTCAGGGTTTAGGGTTTAGGGTTTAGGGTCCAAGGTTCAGGGTTTAGGGTTTAGGGTTTAGGGTTCAGGGTTCAGGGTTTAGGGTGTTTTGGGGGAAGCCTCTCAGCACATACCCAAATAGATACAAAGTCTGAGAATCATGCTTTGCCGAAGGATAATCTTCCCTTGAACCCAAGCACATGTCCTGAAGTTTTCAACCACTACTCCAATAGTCCTTTGTCGTTGCTTCGTTGTTCTGATCTCGCTGTGGCCAGCCAGCATAATGACTGCCGTTTTGTTAAACCGCAACGAGGAAGACATTGGAACAGATCACGGGTTGGACTGTGCTAAATGCATTCAATCAGATGGAGCCCATAGGGAACACTTGCGGGTTCAATCTCTTGTAGCACCTATCCAGTTCATCGTATAGTTGTAGCATAATATACCCGCGAAAGAAGTCGATTCTAGTGATTGAGGCCCCTGATTAGCCTTATGGAGATGAGCAAGCTTTCCTCAAAGAGGATCGCTTGCAGTGAACGCGGTTTCGTGTTTAGGGTTTTGTGTTTCGTCTGTAGGGTTTCGAGATCAGGGCTTAGGGTACAGGGTTTAAGGTTTAGGGTTCATGGAGTCACCGAGCCTTTGCTAGAATGGTTTATCTGTTGGCGGTTTCACAAGGTACGGAGGGCTTTATCATTCTCTTAGTGGCACTGGTTGGCGGTCTCCATGTTTGAAGTGGTAAAGATTTCAGCCACTCCTCTGCTATAGTACAGAATCTCCTACGTATGAGCGAAGACCCACAGGCTGACTGGTGTAACTCTATCATTAGGGTTTAGGGTTTAGGGTTTAGGGTTTAAATAGAACAACTTTTGTTACCCTCAATATTTGTCCTCTCGCGTGGCTGTTCCATGTAAGAGACACGGTTTCGAAGCCGTTCCGACATACGGGAACCCTTTCAGAACCCTACAGAATTCTGGGCGCGATTCGCAGGTACGCGAAGGCTTTTTGGACCACAAAACTAGATTTCTGGGAAGGTCTAGTTTTGGAGTTTGGGGTTCTAGGATTCGGGGCTTTAAGCCCTAACCCTAAACCCTAAATTTTTAGGGTAGGTCCATTTTGCATTCATCGTCATCGGCTGCGGAAGCTAGGCAAGAGGAACGACCTGCGAAAGGTTAGGGCTTTAGGGCTTTAGGGCGGAGGGAATTTCAGCAAGAAGTACTAAACGTCTCGACCTGAACCTTAGATTTAGCCTTGCTCCATTCAGTCCGGAGGGTTGAGCGCAACCCACATCAAACCCAAAACCCCAAAACCCCCAAACCCTAAACCCTAAACCCCTAAACCCTAAAACCGTAAACCTAAACCCCTAAACCCCTAAATCCTACCCCTAAACCCCCAAGACCTTCCATCCTTCTCAGGCTGGCGATGATCCCTTCCTCCGGCAGGCGTTCCACGTTCGCGCTTTCTTCCGCGCCCAGATTACGGATTTAATTGCAATATGGGGTTTAGGGTTTAGGGTTTAGGGTTTAGGGACCAACCTTCTACCTATAGGCTCCATTATGGTTCCTTTCGGGGATTTATATCAAGGGTCCTATAAGGCAATCCCAAGTAAGAACTACAATGGAGCCTCGGGGTATCAGCACAAGACCTGAAACAAGCTAGAAGTTCCTAATGCATTCCTTCGGCTTGCAAATTCAGGCGTTGATAGTTTGGCTTGCTGTAATTTGTTCAAGTTTCGGAGTCACGAAAAAAGACTTGGATGTGTCTTCCAGACATATAGAGAAAGACCTTACAGTTTTTGTTAAAATTGACTCCGTATGATTCGCTACAGATCGTTACGGTATGAGATACATGCCAACCCTGCTCTAATCAAAAACGCCCGCAGATGAGACCCCCATGTTCACAACCCTAAACCCTAAACCCTAAACCCCAAACCGACGGGACATCACGGGACTGCTAAAGAGTTTACAGGCCGCGCGCCTCCGCCCGGAAGCAGTTTCCGCGACACCAACGCTAGACCCTAAACCTCTAAACCCTAA